TGACCAATACCTGTATATATAGACAGTTTATTTGGTGCCTTGTTTAGCGTTTGATAGTTTTATGTCCTCGGGCACGAATATGAGAGTCATACCTTTCCTTTGCTTTAGGTGAGCTGCTGACGACAGCGCAGTGGATTCGCAGATTCGTCGACAAGCATCCCGAATACAAGAAAGACTCGGTTATCAGTGAAACGATCTCTTACGATCTATTGAACACTTTCGATCGTATAAGTCGAGGAGAAATGGGTGCCCCCCAACTTTTTGGAAAACCAAGAAATGCCTGAAAAATAAGGAAGAAATGCGAAAAAATGGAGGCTGGACAATAAGCGAGATGATTTACTCACTAATGCAAATACTGTGCTATATATATACATTTAGCATAAATCAACCAGCGTTTACTAAAACAGTTAGATGATAGTGCGCCCTCGTCAACTATCACGCGATAGAAATCTCGAGCTCCTAATCTAAAACTTGTTTAATATATCACATTCGGGGCCTTCGATCGTCATGTGACATCATGTCGGAATAGATGGTGCCACTTGGAAGGTATTAGGGTAGGCAAATTTCTTAATTTGTAATCTGTCAGAACCACTTGATCGCTCGGACAATCCATCTTAAGGGAATTTTATACCTATCTTTCACATAAAAACGTTGGTCAGTCTACGAAGTGGAGATTCTGATGACAGGCAAATGCTTCATTTGGAGAGTAATGCTTTAATAGCTTTTTTTTTAGCGAGAAACAACTCAGATTTAAACATGTTTATAAGTTTCCTTAAATAGGTGACTTGCTATCAAAACTTAATTCAAGTGCATAAGTGTATACAAGTGTAATATAAGTAAAAGTGCGTAAGTGTAATACATTTAATGCAAGTGTTATCTGAATGTTACCGTTGAAGCTGATAACACTTACGAAACCATGAATATTCTCGATATCAGGAAACAAAGAATGCAATACAGTCTCATTAACTGCTTTATACAGTGCTGTGTAAGGAACTTAGAAGATAACGGACATTAGCAAGTGAAACCAATTTGTTCTGAACACTGAATGGAAAGTTCATTCGTTTGAAAGCTTTTATCCTTTGTCCCTTATTTTTATTTTGTATAATAATTTTTGTCTTCAGATATTCTTTTGATAATTTCTTGCCTGCTTCCGTTGATTTTTACACACTAGTTCCAGCGCCAACACAGTCTTCCTTTTTTCCGTATTTTATAGCCGGAAATGCGATTGAAACGAAAAAAATTAATTCTGTAGCTATGAGACCACGCTCGAGACATGCACAAAATCCGAGAAAGAAGTATACAGTTCACAGAATTGAGATTGAGGCTTCGATGTTTAATTAAAAGAAAATAATTATGATTTATATGGCGTGTAAGGTATTCTCTATTGCTGTGGTATGATGGTACGTAATGTAATAAGAAATGTGCACATGAATGTGGAGCAGATTTCGTGTTAGTAATAAAGTCCTAGTAGATTTGTGCTACGCCAGTTGTCCTCATGAACAGAAGTCTTGTGAATAAAATTATATACCCGTTTTAAAAAAATCGCTATTTGTGTCGCAGGATAAAGCCAAACCGACGGCCGGCAGAAGTCGGTTTGACTTTATCCTGGGCCAAGTGTGTAAAGCTGCGAATCACGAATATAATACGACGCATGTATAAAAGCAGTCACAATATATAGATTTAGCCAAGCCTAAAAGCGGAACTCGAACTACTGATTTTTCTTGGATCAGACTCCAAAAAATATTAATTGTGAGCATTAAATAGATCTTTCCCGTATTCCAACAAACAACGGCACCGAGTCGAGGTCAGGGTGGACAAAAATACAGCAAATGTATGAAAATGTCCACCCTAACCTCGCTCTGGTGCTATTATTCGTACGCACTGAAGTGGAATGCGGGAAGGTCTCTTGTTTCGGCGTGCGGCTTCACACTTTTTCTTTTACGTGAAAAACTTAACAAAAAAGCGTGCCGAATTTTTCCAAGATTGTTGTCATGTATCAGGGATTTTCCAAGAGAGGACTGTGCAAGGAATACTTCGGAAGAAAAGTCAACAACGCCCCAGGGGTTTATTCGCACCGAATTGTTGCCTTTGGACGAGCCCACTCCCTCTCCCCCGGAGTATTGACCTGGCTTGAGTCGGCGATTCAATCTTACCTGGTAAGCGGTCGACTTGAGCTCTAAGCTTGAGCCCGCGATATGGGCAGTGGGTACCTGTGGTAATGGTGCTACTCTCTTTTATTTTTCAAGGTATGGTATGGGGCTCGGATCGCGCACGTGCAGTGCAAATGTCGAACGTACGTGTGTACATACGGACGGACGGACGGACAAACACGTGACAACTGAATTTTTGATGGTTTCGCCCGTGTGCCTTTGGCGCGCAGGAGCTCAGCTAATATATAATCGATGATCCGGTAATGACATTGACGAGTAATCGATGGGTAAGCAATGAGTACATGTAATCAACTGATTAGTCTTTGATTGTTAGCGATGATTAATTACTTAATAAGCCGAGAGTTAAGTCTTTACGGGAAAATCTCAGACCGAGACCTTGCCGTCTCGGTATTGACCGAGTGATAGCGAGGTCAATTCGGCAAGGCTGAGGATTGAGATTTTCCCGTTAAAGTGCACCTAACCCCAATTTTTTTTTCGCTAAAACGAATCTACTTATTATTTGAAATAGTTCTGCGAAAAAATATTTGGATTCCGTTAAATCCTCGATTTTCTGTGCCCCGACGAAATCTCGAAAATAGCTCCAAAACACCGCCATTTTATTTCACGACCGAGTTTGAGGAGAATGGGTCTAGCGGCTCTTGGGACGTCTACCCAGCAAGGTTGGATATCTCACGTCCTCTCATTTCCTTCAGGATGGTGCAATACCCATTCGAAAAGCGCGCAGAAACGCCTTCCAGAAGTTCTATCGGCTGTTGCAGCAACATTCCAGATTTAAAGAAAGATATACTGTACAATTTACTGACGATGGTCGGCTAATGGTGCAATATAGTCGTAAACGAATCTGAATCTATGAGAGTCATTGAAGAACTCTCACTGGAATTTGTTCCGCAGACTATCGAACGCTATTTTCATAAATATTCTGCTTAAAGCTAACCAGCAATTTGTAGAAATACTACAGACAACCTATATCTTCCAATCCCGCAGTATTTTTTATAACATAACCGGCAAAGTTGTTTGATCCGATCATGATCAAGAAGCGTTATACTGATATGTAAATAGATCGCAACTGTACGCCGCTAACCAACACTTATTTCTCTTTCGATTTAGATGAAAG